AGTCAAATTTTTAATAAAATTGAATGAAAAAAGAGTCACTTGTTCTTTTTTGTATTGGTATTTGTGAAAAATAACTCCAATATTTACACCCAAAAACCCTATTTTAAGGCTAAAAAGAGGGACTGATTGGACAATCCCTTTTTATTTTGGAACGAGATAAATGTAGTTGCTAAAATATCCATAATGTGTGAGAATAATGTGTCTGTCCCGTTAATCTGATAGATATTACATTGAGTTGATAGACTTTTGTACGGATTCAAGGGTTTACTTTACATTCAACCTCGTTTTCTAACAATGTCAAGTAAAACAATTAACAACAAAAACAGACAACATTTTTATGTGAACGCCTATATGACTTGTGGTAAGGTGTCCCTGACAAATTTCTAAACCATTTTAGATTGTCTAAGGATGATTATTTCTCTATCAATAAAAAGAAAAAGATATTAAAATATATTTTCAGTGAACATAAATTGTTCGCCAGTAAATCGGACACAGTACTAATAAATCTGGGACAAAGTATGAAATTTATTGTCTATCCCGGTAGAAACTGGATCTCTATGCCGTGCATAGATGATATTCATGATAATAGAAGTCAAGAAGGCCAGATCATAATGATCGAGTAATACCTTTTATTTCTATTAAAATATGTGAAGCATTATCAATTTGGTGGAAAAAAATATATAATATCCCGTTCTTATTTGTACATCTACCATGGACTTTAAAAGACTGTCAGAAGCTCAGTTTTTTGTTATTTTATTTTATATTTTAACGGAATTTCATACATGAATACACAGGCAGAGTGACACTGGTATAATACAATAATAATGCTGATGATAATAATAATAAACTTCAAAAAGGAAACAATTAAATACCCCGCTAGCGGTGCGCAATGCGTTCCATTTCCCCCCACTGAGTGCCTCAAATTTTACCGATAGTCACGTGACATGTGCGACAGATACCAGTTGGAAAGTAAATCACGTTAAGAATTGGTGAAATTTCGGCTATAAACCGATATTAATCAGCAGCTTTTTAATTGGTCAGATGTCACTGGGTCATATAATGTTGTTAGAGTATGTTACCGCAACTTGTGACCCTCTCTGGTGCGATATTTGTGTATTATGCAATTATTTAGCGTAAAACGTAGGGGTCCGAGAGAGAACAGCCGATTTATGACACTTCGTTTGATGCGGGTCGAACTAACTTTGAATCGGCATAACTTTTTTAATAATCAAGCAATTAACATGCGGTTTAAAGCACATGAAAGGAAATTCATTTACGGAGGGAACCGTGTCAGGGATTTTTGTTTACTCAATCAGCGACTTAATTATCTTTAATTACGTAATATGTATGGTGAAAAAAGTCGCATAAAATGTTTGACGTTACGTAATATTTTTTTGAGAAAAGATAGAAAAAATTTGAGACACGGTTCCCCAGATAATATAAGTATGGTTATTTTCCAAAAGTTTGATGATAAAAAAATAAAAAATGACTTTGATATGACGATTTAAAATTTTAGGATTTTTATTCAAAATCAATCATTTACAAAGGCATTTTTTTCAAATATGTTATTTTTTATGATGGTCAACGACATTTAATGCACAAAGATTAAATAAATAACAATTATTACTAAAATAACTTAGTTTAAATGACATTTATGTGAGTACCATGGAAAGTGTCTGTTGTCACCTTAATAAGCAGTTTTACTTACGGTTCTATAAAGTCAAACGAAGATAACATCTCTGTATAACTTTAAATGTAATTTCTTGGTTAATCATTTGCAGTTACCTATGTTCACCTGAGTTAATCTTTTAATGGACTTAGCTGGTATTTTTAGAACTGACGAAAGTTCTGTTTTTCATGCTCGGTCTATACCGCATGTTTTTACGATAAACACAATTTACAAATGTAAAAAATACTGTATTCTTAATCGCGGTGGCGACAGAAAACAAAAAATACATTGCTTAAAAAACTACAGGGCAATGATTCATTGTTTTAGTTTCTAGAAAACAATTTTATTTTATTTTATTTACGCAATATTTGTAGAACCATGTCCTGCATTATAGTAGCTATGTTTTTTAACTTAACGTGCAAATAACGAAATATATAAATATTAATAAATAATGTCGCCGCATTGTCCGTCTTTCCATCTGTCCTTCTGTCCGTCCGTTGTCCTGTCCGGAGCATAACTTGAAAACCCTTGGAGATATTTTTTAAACTTCACACAGTGGTAGAGGACATCGAGGCGAAGTGCAGTGTCAAAGAACCATAACTATTGTAAATTAACTCCCTTTTAGAAAAATCTTGTCCGGGACATAACTAAAAACCTATAAGAAATATCAACATGAAACTTTGTAGGTAAATAGATCTCAATGGGAAACTGTGCAGTGCACAAGACCCATAGCTCTGTCATGACTAATTTTGTTCGTTTTTGCACTTTGAACTTTGTCCAGAACATAATGTAAAATTATATGAGATATCAACATGAAACTTTGTAAATAGATCGCATTGAGTAGAAGTTCATTTCAAAAGAGCCATAACACTGCTCATCCCCGGTTTTTAATTATCTCCCCTTTTAGAAAAATATTGTCCGAGACATAACTCGATAATTATAAGAGATGTCAACACGAAACTTTGTAGGTAGATAGATCTCAATAGGTAGATGTTCAGTGCACAAGAAACGTTACTCTGCGTTGCCTTATTTTTTACTTAATTCCCTGTAGGTAGATATATCTCAATGAGTAGATGTACAGTGCATAAGAACCGTAACTCTGCTTGGAGTATTTGCCTTTAATTGTTTTTACACTTAAAACTTTGTCCGAGATATTGCTCTAAAATATCATCAACATGAAACGTTGCAGGTCGATAAATCTCATTGGGTAGAAATGCATTGCTCTGGAATTATTGCTTTTTGAACTTTGTCCAGGGACTCTGAAACTACAAGAGGTGTACTTTCCTGTGTCGAAAATCGGGGAGCATCAACCGGTTCAAACCGGGCTCTTGTTTGTAACTGAATATCAAGGAAGTTTTAAAACTCAAACTGCGGTTAATAATGACAGATATCATGCTACGAATATCCTCTGTGTGTATTTTGATCTGAAATAATTACTGCTGTGATATTGAATCTACTCAAGCAATGAAAGCTGGCATATTCTTACTTTTGATAATAGTTTGCATTGTTATCCATTTAGAGTATAAGATTGACAAACCCATTTAATAATGTACGTGTGGTAAGGGTGTAATCTTAAGGCAAATTCAGTGATATAATTTCAAGATAAACTATTAATTATATAATTATAAATGAAATATCGGGAAATATTCAAATTGATGAATCCCAAATGCACTGTAATACGTTATTTATGAGTGCAGTGAAACATATTTCCGTATTTATTCTGGCGTGTTGTCGGACTTCTTTTATCTAAATTCAGACAATGCACGGAATGAAAGGGGAAGTCTTTTCAATCGCAAGGTCGTAAAAGAGGAAATTAATGAAAAAAACATAAAATTCAAGTTTTTATTTCTTCTATGAATAGGAGATCGATTTTCATCTTTGTGTATGAAAATAGTTTTATATTTTACTAGTGGCGCTATCGCCATCCGTAAATATTTATTTTATTATCACTCAATGAAAATAAATCCTGTATTTGTAGATAAATGAATATCTTCTACTCATGGATGTTTATTTAAGAAAACTGGAGATATTAAAAATATGCATGTATGTATCTACGTAAAATGAAAGAATGTATGTTTACTGTCCATGATTTATGATGTTATTGCATGTGCAGATGATATAAAGTTGAGATTTAAGAGGGTCGATTGTGACAGCCGCTGTTGAAAAGCAAATGCAACACTCCTTTATCTGACTTTTCTCAGAGCATTTAAGTATCTTATTTATAACACAATATTCCTTGGTCCGGTAAACCTCGTCTGTTTCCTTAAGACACCTTATCAATTATTTGATTCTTTCTATAAATATCTCGGATAAAGTATGGTAATCTTAACAAATTGTTATTGTCTTTTTGAATGTCTTATTCACATGTTTTAATTTCTTAACACTAGTTGAGTAACCATTTCTTTATTGGCAATCATAAAGGCTATTCTCTTCGAACTCGTTATGTACGTTCATTATTTTTGAGAATGTCATTTCAAAAGAACAGATCATCATTTAAAGTTATTTCTTTTGAGCAAGGAAAGGCACTTGTTTAAAAAATTGAATTATTGCCCTTCTTTACATATTTGTGCAATGTCAATGTCTCTGAAACAATCTCAATTGTTTACATTAAACATATCATGCATGTTTACTATCAAACCATTACATCATTTCAGAAGGGCATTAACATTCATTAGGTAATGTTTTGTCCCTTTCTAGACTTAATTACTTTTGCAAAGTTCCACTCATCAAAGCTATTCACATACAAATGTGTATACTTGTTGGATTTAAAATTAATTTGAATGTATTTCAGGACAGGAAAACTTATAATTAGTTAAGCGTCGTTTTCCTGACTTTGAACCACTTGGTTTACATATATATTTTCTAAAGATACGTTTCTCAAAGACTTAAAAAGACATTGGAGCACTTATTTATCATCAGCTTTGCAATAAATGTCTATGGTTAGAAGGGGCAGATTATCCTGAAAATCATATTGCCTTATCATTTACCATTTTTACTTGACAATTGTCTTATGTCTTTTTCTCAAAAAGTCAAAGTCATAATTAAGTGTTTACATTAAACCTGTAATATTTGTTCAGTTCCATGTGCAAGTAAGTCTGCCAAGCAATTTAGCAGTATTATTACCTTCTCTACTCTGCAATTTCAAGTTTTGATTCAATCGGTTTTGTCTCCTTTGCCCTAACGCGTATTAACCGTTTTTCATTATTTAACAATTTAAGCTGAACATCAGAAAGTATAAAGACAACTGTCTTAACAACACAGCGTCAGCTTCAGCGACCGCGATAAAATTTCTGATTAGTAAACTATTTTTAACTGTAACCCTTTACTGGATGAGATACAACTTTATATGTTGCATACATGTTTCTTACACTTATCCAAACCATACAGTGGTAAGCTGCATAGCACTAGCACCCATATTTGTAGACAAAAATCCCTATTTCATCCTACTAGCACATCTTTATTTTCAAGAAAAAAATCAAAGATTAAAGAACATTATATACTGATTTTGATTTTCAGTCCATTGATTATTTTGTTTTTCTTCGTAGGATACGACCAACCCGAAGACGGTTACACTGATAAAAATGCTAAGTATGGTTTGGATGCTCCACCCCCTTACCAGCCAGGAATTCCTCCACCGCAACAAGGTTATGGCCAGCAACCATACCCAATGCAATCACCATATGGACACAACACAGTGGTAAATAGTTACAATAGCAGCAATGCTGAAACCATTAGTACTCGATATTTTAAAGTGCAGTAAAGTCCAACCTACGCAGTAACACTACTTTATATTTGATATACTTTAAAGAACATTTAGGCAGACATAAAAACAGCCCCTCATTTTGACATTTTAGAATATTTAAACCTCTTAAAGAAGTGAAATATTCAAACAGGTGTCTTGATGGGTGGAGTAGGGTAGCATTTTATACATACTTCAAACACTTTGAGTAGATTGAGTAGATATCATTTTGCTTGTGTAGAATGTTACCTGAATACTTTTATTTGTTTCTTAAAAAATATAATTAGGAAAATATTTTGCATAATAATGATAATATTATAGATAATTTAGAGTTTCTTCATTTCTTGAAAAGAACCCTTCTAAAAGTCAAACTTTATTTCAGAAACATGTCCATAGATCGTTAACAGAACGGAATATTTTGTTTAATTTTTTGCATACCGGTGTTTTATAGCGCATATTACTGGCCTACGGTGTCAGTTTTACAATTCCTTATAGTGCCTATTAGGGGACCGTACCTTAAGTAGAATAATTCAAAAGTAAAAAAAAATATTAACACGATTCTTGAAACATTTAATTTTTGACACAGTTGTTAGATAATGGCTATTGTTCTTTTCAACTTTGAATGTCTGATACATATAATTAGTAGAATGATTTGGTATCAAAACTATAGAAGCTGTCAGCTTGAACTTTGTGATACTTGATGTACAGTTTTAAGGCAAGGACATTACTCAATAATACTTAAAATTTATGCCCTTTTTTAAGTTCTAATATTAATTTTTAATAAAGGTTATTGATAGTGTTTGTCCTTTACAGACGACAGATAATATCACATGCGGTGCTCTTGTTCCAGACTTTAATGTAACACTTTTTAGAAAATACTTATTAACTTACTACATGGTTCAAAAACAGAAAATACTCAATAACTTTTTAAGAATATCTCTTATAAATATGCAAATTCATGTGTGTTTTTTTTTCAGGTTGTAAATCAGCCACAAACTGGCACAATAATAATAATCCAGCGGAGACACACAGATTATATGGTTTCATCTATATTTGCTTGCCTCTGTTGCTTTTGGCCTACCGGAATTTGCGCCATCTATTACGCAAACGAGGTAAGTTTAATATAAATGACGTTTTAGAATGCTTGCAGCCTGAAAGGTCATTTAAAAAGTATATTTTGAGGTCTCTCAGTGCCGTCAATAAAACAATAAAAAAAGGTTTAAGTGTAGAATAGCTTTTCATGTTTAGCTATAACTGGTAAGCATTAGGTCAGTTGGTACGGCATTTGATATGACAGTGACTTCATGTCAAGAGAGAAGATCTTACATTTGATCTTCTATAGGATTTCATTTTAGATCTTAATATATAAAATAAGGTATGCGAGCTACCTTCAGGTGTATCTTTTAGTAAGATCCCTCCAAGTTAGCTCAGTACGTTTATTTACGTTATAAGCGTTATTCCTTTTTAAAGTCCAGATGTTATAAAGTGCTTTACAAGCTTTACAGAACTGTTTAACTAATATTTGTTTTCTTACATGGTATTTTATAGGCAAACAATTTGGCGAAGGCTGGTGACTATGTTGGGGCAAGAACAATATCTAACATTGCCAAGAGGCTAATGGTAACCAGTGTAATCGTTGGAATTATTTTGCTGATCCTTTTGGTGGTCCTGCGTTTGACAGTATATAACAGTTACAACAGTTCAAGCTATAGTTACTAGTGTACTTGTAATCACGGCTACTTGTGCACTGATAATGGCAATTTCTCTTATCCTACTATTATAATTATGAGACATATAAAAAAAACTCAGTGCCTATATCATTATATGTTTATAAAAATTCTGCAACAGTACAGAACATGGTGAAATCTACCACCTTGCAAAATCATTTAATAAATTTGATAAGGATAAATCTATAAACTTAAAAGATTAGATTGCATGCCTATTGAAAATTACCATAAGTACTTAATATATCAAATCAGATAATCATTCGCTTTACATTATCATTGATTTTTAACATTTCATTACTTTTTATCAACTGAGTGACATACCTGATCAGAAATGACGCTAAATATTCAAAAGTCTTCCATGTATCAATACATGTATAATATAAATATTAACATATGTTCATGTTAAAATCAGATTTATATCAGGTTTATAAAGTTCTTATATTTTTCAGAGGTCAATTCGGCCTTACAATTCTACTTTATAAAACTGTTTATTTTTGGTGTCCGGTTACAAATCTTAAAACAGAACATTTTGCAATTTAACAACTGAACCATATATTTGTTTTGTTTTAGCAATTGATACAGAAATGATTTTAGCTCAAAAAGTACATTTGTCAGATATTACCTTGAAATAAACATTTTGTCAGCAAAAACACATGTGCTGCTTAAAATGAATATTGACATTAACATACATTCTTTTTTATGAAGCATATTCGAGCTTGTTTTGAACAATATGAATATTATCTAATTCATTCATACTTGATATTAAATTTTAAAATGCATGTTCAATCTCTGAAATGGTTATTATTTCTGCAACTTTCTGATCATACTTTCTTCAGTTTGCTAAAGATCTGTTATGTAGTTTTCAACTGTATTTTCTAATAAAATTGAAACTGAGATAATCTTTAAAAAGCTTGTGCTAGTTATTTATTTTTCTAAAAAAGTTTCGAACTTTCCTAGTTAAAGTGTGGCCGCGCGACTACGGCGCTTTTTTGTGGAATGGCATTTAAGTGTCACATTGAAGGTTCCATGCTAGGACACGTGGACGGGAAATTGCACTTTCCAGTTATGTCCATGAACAGACGTCAAATCGAGCCTCCAAAATTGTTTACATTTGTGTCATTTTGGACGTTCTTTAGGGTATCTGTTTTCTCGGGTTTTATTTTCCCTGCAACTCCGTGTACACCATTAAATCTCACCAACTACTGATTTCATAAGCCAGTAACTTTACAGACTGGAAAAAAACAGAAGAAATCATTATGCATGGATGTTATATAACAGGTAGAATGTTAACTAAATTTAACTATGTCACTCTCCGGGAGCAAAGTTTTAAGAAAAATAATACGAATATAGATTCAATTTAAATACAAATGCATGCAACTTTTTATGCTTTTGAGTGGATTACTGATTTATTCGTGATTTTTATTTTTATTTAACAAAGAAAATTATTCAATTCATTCAAATAACCAATCACAAAATATCGTCTCTAGTTTTTCTTGTTATTTTTTCAGTCTGAGAAAAACCCCACTTCCTTTCACATGCAAAACTGATCCTGATGACATGTGGGCATATTTAAGATTTTCCGAGCAATAGCTGCCTTTTGAAATATGAAAATTTGAAAAGCAATAACAGTCATCAGCCCAAAGAATAAGTAAACAACCCAGCGTTCGTAAGACAGCCTTTCAACATTCCATGTTTTCCATGTTTTCCGAATTCTTAGCAGCTTTTCTAATGTTTATACACATCTGTCAACGAATATTTATTGTCAGTAACAATCCCTATATAAGTTTTCTTTCTTATAAATAGATGTATGACTAGCAAATTCAAATAATATCCATCTGAATCAAACACAATTACCTTCCTCCCGTGAAATACACAACTTTAAAAAAAATGGCGGCCGCTTAAATTACAAAAAGCCTGGTCCAAAATAAATTCGCCGTAAGTAACAGAAATAAGGTCGGATGGTGTGACTTTTTCTTTTACTCATTTAAAATCCTATGTTTTTCCTAATTGCATTGTAACGGTTACCCTTTTACCTCATATAGGCGTGTTTTGACTGCTTTTCACCCCACCTATTTTGAGGCCTCAAAAATGAAAAATTACCTTATTTATGTCCCAAACACTGTTGTTTGTTTAAGACATGTTGTTCAAAAAGTGATCACTTTTTATACACCGACTCCTATCCAAAAGGTACATCAACTTAGTGCCAGAGGGGATGTGCTCCCTTTTGTGTGGGGTTTGAAGGGGGGCCATAGCCCTCATATCGTCAATAATACTTTAGACTTGTGAGGGGCTAAAATGGCCTCAGGTCAATCTAAAGGTAACGTGTAAAAACGCTGAAAAGACTTTGACTCTATCTCAATCCATTAAGAAATTGCAGCACTTTGAAATCAGTTTGATGGATAAAACAACGTAAAATACAGATTTTTGGCAATTTTGAGACGTCTTCCGTTGCCATTGTAACAGGAAATTCAAGATTAAGCATGCTGTTACAAAGTCTATGGTGCAGTTAGAATTTGTGCCAAGTTTGATCGGTATTAAAGCATGTTTTATAGTTTCATAGTACTTGTAACAGATGGCTTTCAATGAAAATAACAATTTTTCGCAATATGCTCGTGGGGTAAAATGTTAATGATTAGAACCCCGTGTGCATGCACACACTTTTTTGTTTGTTCCCGTGCTAGGTACCTTACCAATATTCATTTGTGGCTGTTGGTTTCTTCGTTCAATTAGTGTCGCTCCCTTGTTAGTTTTTATGCCCCGAAGGGTGGCATATTAAAATCGAACCGTCCGACTGTCCTTCCGTCCGTCAGTCAGTCCGTCCCGCTATATACATATAGACAGTTGTGTCGTGTCCGCTCTGAAACTTCAGTATGCATGAAAGGATTTTAATGTTTCTTTCATAAATGAAATAACTATAGATGTATGGTGAGTCGCGAACAAGACTCATGTTTCTACCACTATGGTCAAGGTCATAGTGGGGGTTCAGACTTTGTCATTTTTAATGTTATATAAATATAGAAGGTGGTGGTCGTGTCCGCTCTGAAACTTCAGTATGCATGGAAGAATTGTAATTCTTCTTTCAAATATGAAATAACCAAAAATGTATGGTGTGTCGAGAACAAGACTTGGGGTTTCTACGAGTTAGGTCAAGGTCACTGTGTTCTACGACTTAGGTCAAGGTCACTGTGGGGGTTCAAACTTAGTCAATTTTGATGTTAATAAACATATAGGCAGATATGGTCGTGTCTGCTCTGAAACTAATATGCATGAAAGGATTATATTTTGAAATTATCATAAATGTGTGATGGGTTGCCCTTAAGACCCGTGTTCCTACGCTTTAGTTCAAGGTCACTGCTGAGGTTTAACCTTTTTCAATATTTATGTTATATACATATAAATGGTGGTTGTTTTGTCTGCTCTGTAACTTCCATATACATCAAAGTTTCATTTTTTATTTAAGAATATAAAGTCACCATAGATGGACAATGTGTTGTGAACAAGACCCAGGTTTCTTTGTCTCACTTAAAGGTCACTGCTGGGGTTTGAACTTTGTCAGTTTTAACCACCACACTAAACATGTAATAGGTGCTTTATAACTAGAATCCTTCGGGGGCATTTGTCACGTTCTGTCACAGCTCTTATTTATTCTATTTTTTCTATAACGTAATAATTTCCAATAAAACCATTCAATCACAGCTGGTTTGCTTTGATTCCTGGAAACTACCTGCTTTTAAAAACAATCATTAGATATTTAGTTTGTGCGATAGTGTTAGACTGGTTGCATCTTAGTTTGAAAGTGTAGAAATAATATTCCTTTAACTGCCGGTGATTTTAATTCATATGGATATGTCAGTATCCATTCAGCGAGAACATAGAATCAATATATTTTAAAAAGCAAGGTAATGTTTATAGTACATTGTTTTTTACTGTGTATAACAAACAATTTATATATGTATTACAATTATTACATTTAACATTTCATTTAACAATTTGTTGGTACTGTGTGTACTCATAATATAAAAGTAATTTTGATACGTTTTTAAGTAAAAGTCTACCACTTAAATAAACTAAAATGCTTTCTGGCATTTGAAAAAAAAATCATGAAATGATTTAACTTTATAGAACTAATCTAGTGAGGACTCTATTAGTCCCCTACCGGTTTAACAGAAATATACATTCATTATCAACACCTACATCATATGTGATTAGATTTATAGGTCATGGATTTCCATGATTAATATCATTTTGAACATGAATTTCTTTTTTAATGTTCACTTATGTTACTATAAATGGTGTATTTGAAAATTGGTATTTTTTCTGTGTTCTTCCTTGTGACTATAAAATGGTATCATCTTTAAACTTAAGATAATTGTTCTTTGTTACAC